GTCGGTCATTCGGACCTTATGAACGGCTGTGTTGCTCTTGCAAAACGCAAAACATCTGCACCGAGATTGAGGCATGCCGCCCACGCCTCAGATCGCCCGCCCCTCTACACCCGCTCCCCTCCCCAACCTGGCTGCGTGTGTGTGTTATGATGTGTCACCGTTGGCCGCAAAACAACAAATTCCTTCGTTAAGACACAGCCGCAAAAAAAAAAACATTCATACACGCACACACATATGTACATACATACATACACATGCATATGTGAATGTATAAGTCGTAAGAAGAAATGCACGTGTTCAAAATGTTCTCGTTACGTAGTTGTTGTTGTTGTTGCTGCTGCTTTTGCTGTTCTTTTTTTGTACTTTTCGCGCCGCGCAGCTGTGCGCCAGTCGCCAGTCGGTCGCTTTCTACAATGTGCGCACCCCAGCTGCTGCCCTGCCCCCCGCCCCGACAAAGCTCTGCGGTCACTCAACATAACAGGCAGCGACAGTAAGAGACGCAGCAACAACAACAACAACAAATACACGAGCTCATTTGATTTTCTTAGTTTTGCGCTGGCGCTCAGTTGGCGCCTCTGCCTTGGCCCTTCTCCTAATATGTACGTCGCTGCCAGCGCCAACGGCAGGCAATGAAAATGAAAAGAAAAAAATTGAAGGCAGCAGAAAAAAATGCACACAAAGCTCGAGCGCTACGTAAACAAATGAGACGACAAGCCAAAAGAAGAAGAGTTGCAAAAAGCAAAAGAAATACGAAAACAACAGCAAATTAATTGATAATTCGTGATTTGTTGTGCAAGTCAGGCATATACTTATACTATACACTTATACACCAAACTTATACTATACACTTATACAATACACATATGTATGTATACTGTTAAGACTTAAATCGATTTTGACTAATTTCTTGCTCTCTCTCTCGCTTTCCCTCATTGCAGCAAATCAGCGGCGAAAAGGACAGCAGGCAATCGTAAAGCAGCTGGCAGCAGCTGAAGCAGCAGCCGCAGCCGCAGCAGCGGCGGCAACTACAACTAAAACTAAACATTTAAAGCTATACAAAACATATTAACTAATGGTAGTAGCAGTGTAGTACAGTCAACTCCACTCAAAACTCAAAACTCAACTCAACTCCACTCAACTCAACTCGTGTGAAGATCTCTCCACAACAACAATAACAGTTAATTAAAATATCTAAGCATCATGCAAGTTATATAATACATAGACACTGCAGACACGCCCACACACGCGCTCGCACACGCACACTGTGTGTGTGTGTTTGTGTGTGTGTGGGGCTGTAAAAGCATTTCACACCAATACATTGAAAGAGTTTAGTTCTTAATAAAAAAAAAAAACAATACCTAAGTAGCATTAAAAAACAAAACAACAACAATGTAAGCACTAATACATTATTATTAACATTTAACGTTTAACTATTAGCAGCTGTTTAAGAAGAAGAATATGATGAAGAAGAAGTAGAAGATGATGAAAAACAACTTGGCAAAGCTTTAAACAATTTAATTTTTCCTTTTAATCGCATTGATAAAATGAAATGAAAAACTGAATTTTTGTTTTCTATATGTTTAGTTTTTGGTTTAAATGAAAAAAAGCATGTTAATAATTTTACGAAAATGATAAGAGATGCAAAGCAAAACAGAGAGCAGCAATAAAAATGAAACAAATAAGAATAAAATAAAGAAAACAAACAACTAAAATAAAACGCAAAATTCTAACAAATTTTCATTCTCATTTTTCAATTACATGTATTTCCTATTAATTTTAATACAACAAACAAAAAGTCGCTAGAAATTTTTTCCTATTATCGTTTAGCCAGAGTCCAGCAACAAATCATTTATTTATACACACACGCACACTCACACACACGCACGCACACTCATACACACACACACGCATATGAAAACCTCAAGGAACAATTTTCTTATCATTTAAGCGTTAAGCGTAGGTTTTATCCCCAATCAAGTTTTCCTCTTTTGAATATAATATAAAACATAATATTAATAATAATAATATATATAAATATAAATATATATATGTTCTGTGATCTGTAGCATACTTTGTACAAAGTGTTTTTATTTAGCATAATTATGCGTTTTATATTTTACGATTTGAAAAGTGAAAGAAAAATACGAAAAATGCAGAGAGAAAAATTTCAATTATCATTTGTTTCAATATCGGGTATACCCTGTTTCACAATTCATGATGTAACATAATGATGAAAAGAATGCAAAAAAAAAAAAACAAACAAAACAACAAGAAATACAAAAACAAATTAAATTATAGCTATTACAAAATAAATTACATAAAATACTATTCAAATATGATTTTTGTTTGATTTTCTTTTGGGTTTTATTGTGGCTTGGTTTCTGGAAATTACCGATCCCAAGTCATATCAGAGACTACCTGACTCAACGGTCGTGCGGTAGCTGCAAAGGAAATTATGAGGAAAACGGGCTAACAATGTGAAAAACCATTTCCCATGTAAACAAGTGCAACGAATTACAGCAAGCAGCAACAGCAACAACAACAAGAACAACCGCTAGGGCAAAGATAATGCCCGCCCGTGCAGCTCGAACGAGTTTTCTCACGCATTGTCATTGTCTGCTCTTCGCTGTTGTTGTTGTTGCTGCTGCTGCTGCTGCTGCTGTCTCGCCTCTGCCGCTGCCTTTGCCTCTGCTGCCCATTAAGGGCTTTCCAGATCTCAGCCTCAGGTAGCCGCTGGCCTAGTAGTTGCACGTGTGCGAAAAATTCTTTCGAGAAATGTTTTCGGTGACATTTGTCGGATTTTGGGTTTTTACACGCAGCTGCGACTGCAGCTGGCGTCGCTGCTGACGTCGCCGTTGCCGTTGCCGTTGCCGTCGCCTATTAGCGTTAATGATTGCAGCTTACAAAGCAATTGACCAATTGCCTTGGGGGGCCGCGACTGAGGCCGCTGCTGAGGCTGCGACTGAGGCTGAGAGTGGGGCCGTTTGGTGCCAGTCGCCCCATTCAAATGTCAGTTTGGCTGCCCGCAATCCAAATCAAGCGATTCGAACTACCGTTGCACGACTAACAGTTACTCAGTACTTTTTTAAGAGTTACTCGATTTTGCTATTGAAGTACAGGGTAAAGGTTTGGTAAGCTAGCTATACATTTGTAGCTTCCATTCTGATGCATGGGTGAAGTGGGTATACCCTTTATGGGTTCGTATTTACAGAGTAACGTATTATCCTTAACTATTTATATTCTCATCACATAGTTTTCAATAATTCGTATGCAGGCAATATACCCTGTTAGTCATGTAAGTACAGGGTATACATTTGGGACCTATTTTTTTACTAATACAGGGTATATCTACAGTAACAGTTACCATTAACGAATCTAGCTATATATATTAAATTGCCGTGGGTGGATCCCTTTGGCTAGTAAGGTACAGGGTATATATGGAAGATTATATTACTAACCACAAATCTTTCCCTGCGCTTACTTATATTTACGTATCAGTAAATATAACTATACAGCTAACACACCCCATTGGTCAACTACAGGTCATAAACTTTTGTTTCACATGCATTTGTAGTATTTCCCCACTTTGCGGTGCGTTCTCTCTGGAATGCGCTAATTGTTTTGTGCATTCTGCAACAGCTCCGCGAAGCTCGCCAACAGCTTCCAATTGCAGCGCCAATGGACGCTGTCTTTGGCTTGGGCAACGATTACGGCTTCGACTCCGGCTCCGGCTCTCTGGCAATTAGCGCGCCTAGCTCGATTTTCACCCATTTGCTGTTGTTGTTTATAGTTTTGTTTTGTGTTTTTGTTTTTGTCTGTTTTTTGGGTGCGACTGGAACGTGAAATCAGTGAAACTTGAATTACCATAAAAACTCGTGTAACAGTCAACAGCTGCGACTGCGCAGCCGGCGCAAACCGAAAAAATTTTTTGACATAATAATTGTCAAGCTGACATTTCGAACAGCGCAGCTGACAGCTGAGCGCAGAGCCGAGCGCCGAGCACCAAAAACGAGCGACTTTAACCACAGAGCACGAAGTCAAAGTCAGAGCCGAAGCTCAGCTTTTAAATGGAAAGCTGCACGAGCCGAATGCGTCCGACGACGCGTCGACGCTGCGGCTGGAAGCGACGGCTTTGTAGGTGCGCATAAAAATTGCATTTAATTGTGATTTTCACACGAAACACAAAGCGCATGAGCGACTGGCGCCAGTTGGTTGGGCCAAGGGGGCGGGTGGCGGTGGTGGTGTTGGTGAATAGCAGGCGGTGGTGAATAGCAGGCGGCAATTTGTGCAGCTAGCGGTAAAGCGTAACTACTAAACAGCGCGAGACACCAACACGCTCACACACACACACACAGACAAGATAAACTGGAAGGGGTGGGCAGGGGCTGGAGTAAGTTGGAAGTCGCGGCTGCGGCTGCGGCTGCTGGTGGTGGCTTTTGGGAAACACCTGCAAACGCAAACGCACCTGTTTTGCTAAGCAGCAGCAAAAAACTAAAACAAAGTCAGACACCAACGCCAACAACAACAGCAACAACAACGGTAACAACAACAGCGACGCGGACACGGCTCGGCAACTTTCGTGGGTTTCAGTTGCGGCGTTGCACTGTGCAGGGGGTGTGGGGGGCAGGCAGGGGGGATTTTTCCAGCTGGCACTCTGCATGACTTTGTGTAATTGAAGCAGCCGCATCGAGTTGGGTTTTCAGTTTTGACTTTCTTGGCTGTTGTCTGGCTGCGAATTAGGAAATCGAAACCGAAACAGCAAAAGGGGAGAGGGGCGGGGGGGGGGGGGGGTGGTTAGCTTTGCTTGCACCAGGTGAAACCACATGACATGTGGCAATGTGCGCCTCTTGTGGGGCGGCTTTTGGTCAGGTGCAAGTGCACATGTGCATCGGAAGCGCTGTATCAGCTGGCGGAAGCTTGACCCGCACAGCCCAGCACAGCTGTCACTCTCAGCTACAGCATGCCGCATGCTGCAAGCAAAAAGGCCGCCGCCCGGCCATATGCCATGTGTGGCAATTGGTCAGCGCATTGATTTCAGCTGCGTCACCTTCTTTTGTGGGGCCAAACGGCTGCAACTGCAACTGCAACTGCAATCGCTGCAGCCGGCCCAGCCGCATGTTTGCCTAATGACAGCGCCCCAGCAGCAGCAACAGCAGCAGCAACAGCAGCAGCAGCAGCGGCGGCAGCGGCAGCCCTCAGTGTTGCAGCTTTCAGCTTCCAGCTTGGCGTGCAACAACAATGACAACGACAACAATTGCGAGGTGCGGCGGCAACAATTGCATTTGCAACGGCGACTGACATTTGATCGAAAGGCAAGCCGCTGCTGCGGAAGCTCATGCCACAGTCTATGCCGTGGCATGCCACATGTGGCCGTAGCTGTTGCTGTTGCTGTTGCTGTTCCCAAAAGGCGCTGATTAAGATCGCAACGGCTACTGCCTGCCAACACTTCAGATTTCAAATGAAAATGAAAATGAAAATTTAAAAATAAAACCTATTCTGATTTTATTGGGGCAAGCGTGTTATGCAGTTCAAACAAGTTTTTCCAACTAATTTTTAAAAAATTGGGTTGCATTTTAAATCACATCAATAAAAGAAGTCGATGCAATGGCTAAAGTTTAACAGAGCTGTCTAGAAAAGTCTGCAGATTCAAGAGTCTAGTTCTTACGGGTTCTGAGGCAGACAGACGGACACGGATAGTTCGACTCGGCTTTTGATGCTTATCAAGAATATACTTATATAGATATGCTTCTTTTTACCTGTTACATACATTTGCTTATAACCAGATTATTCAAATTAAATTCAATATAAGGTTTTATACAAGCTAGAAACACTAACAAACGATTTAAAATCAAATGTGTAGACTTCTAAATTTTAAATATATAATTGAAATAATTGCAAATCTAAATTTCGAAAATTAGATAGAAATTTGATCAAAAAAATCGAATTAAGATAGATAGATAGATAGATAAATAGATAGTATATAGATAGATAGATAGATAGATGGAAGCACTCACAATCGATTTGAAATCGAAAGTGTAGACTTTTACTTGTGAATAAATGTCTGATTCCCCCCAAAAAAAATTTCAAAATATTCAACAAAAGTTCGAATAGATATTCACATAATCAACAATCATACAAATGGGTTCCGTTATGGCCAAGTTAAAGGGACAGACCCCAAAGGACTTGGTAGCTCTGCAAGTCAAAATAATCGATAACTTTTACTTCATTGCCGCATTGTCGATAATTTATGTGTTAATTGAATTATAAATCATGTCAGTTTAAAAGCGTAAGATTTTAGATACTTTATCTTCGGCTAATTGGTCAAAAGATTCAAAATAAAAGTCAACTTCATTAAAGCCAATAAAAATATGCGCAATAAATTGCAAAAAGCGTTAAATAAATTATGCAAAAACACACAAAATATGAATGGAAAATGGAAAATTGAATATTATGCAGAAATGCGCAAATATTTACACGAGCTGCCAATTGCCAGCCGCCAATTTCGTTATTGTTGTATTTTTTTTAGGCGCTGACGCTTGACAACAATGTGGCCAAAATGCTGATCCGCAGATGCACGGATCCGCCACACAGCCCGGGCCCAGGCCCAGGCCCAGGCAATGACAAGGAGGAGGCGGCGTTGACGATCTGGCGACTGGCGTTGGCGGCAGCTGCAACTGCTTGCAACTGCAACAGCATCTGCATGCGGCAGCTACTGTCGCGGCGCGTGAAAAATAATATTTATGGGAAACAAATTTTCATATCGACAGCAAACGGCGCCGCAAATATACATATTTTTGTGTTTTTTTTTTTGTGGCGCACCCAACGCCAACGATGCCACAAGCTGCAACTATTGGTGGCATGTGTGAATATGCGGCAGCCATATAAAATAATTAGGCAGCTAGTCATAAAAAATGGCAAAAGGTGGGCCTAAGCAAAGCCATCGAAGAGTGTGTGGCACGTAAGTGTGGCACGTATGTGTGTGCGTTTGTGTGTGTGTGTGTGTGGCAAGCAAATGTCAACGTAAATTTATCAGCGCGAATAAGTGCGTCCATCAGCCAGGCAAACAGACTGACAAACAGACTGACTGACAGACAGACAGACAGACTTAACTGGCAGTTAACCGGCCAGCTCGTAAGTTAGTCCGCGTTACTTGGAACTGGGCACTCGGAACTGGAGCTGAAACTGGAACTGGTACTGGATTCCGGGTAGTCGGCCGGGCCAAAGCCCGAATCAAAGCGCTGCGCATAATCGTAAATTATATTGCGCATTGAGAAAACTGTCAACTCAGCCCATTTTTGGGCATCTTTTTGGGCCAACTGCAACAGAGCCAACTCTCTGACAGGGCCAAGACAAATGTGCGCAGCTGGCGGCATCTTCTGAGGAGCTGCTTTGCAATTTCCGAGCTCCTTTAAAGCCTTTGACAAGTTCGTATTGGCGAGGGGCTAGCGGCGGCGGGCGGCGGGCGGTCGCACGCCCCTTTGCGACAGGCCAATTAACTTGGTTATCGATCAAATTTTTATTGTATCTTAAATAGAATTTGTATTTGCTGATCTCGTGCGCTGATAAAATTGGAACTGGAAAATTTATTGAATTTAATAACGCGCCAAGTTTATCGCACAGTTTTTGTCAATTTAACAAATTGCTGCTGCAGCAGCAGCAGCAACAACAACTGCGGCAGTAGGAAAAACAACTGCGGCAGCAGTGGACCAAGCCCACAGAAAAGTGGCCACAATGGAAATGGAATTGAATTCCTCGACGGGCTAATAATGTCTTTGTGCACAATTGACGGCCAGCCGGACACTGGGCACTAGACGGGAGCGCTGTGGGAGAGAGGGGGATGGAGGGAGGGCGGGAGAGGGAGCGGGAGTGCGGCGTGCAAATGACTGCAAGAATTATTTAACGATCGTGCTGCGGCGAGCTCCCAGGCTCTATCGCCAAGATCAATGAATCAATTAGCGAAAACGAAATGAAAATGAATGAAACCAGCTAACAAAATGGCTTTTTGCTGGCCAACAACATGCCACATGCCACATGCCGCAGCCGCCTAGACTGGCCCGGCCTGGCCCGGCTCAGCCTGGCTCGGCCCGGCTCGGCTTGGCCAAGGCGTGGGATGGCATTTATCAAAGTCGCTTTGGCTTTGGCTTTGCCTGGCTGCAGCTGGCTTTTGTTTTGCGTAGCGTGCAGCGTGCAGCGTGTTGCAGTTGCAACTGCATATCGTATCAATCATGGCAACTTTGGTGGCGCATTAGTCAGAGCCGCTGGCCAAAACAATTCAATTGCCGTCGCTGATAAGAATTATGCACAATTCTATTTAATTTACATTTTGACACTCGCCAACCAAAAACACAAAAAAAAAGAACAAAAACAAATAAAAGTTCTAATCGATTGCCTGATAAATACATATTTAATGACCAAAATTAGTCAGCGATTAAATCTTACTCGTTTCTTATTGGATTTTTTAATCAAGAAGCAAATGCACAAGTATTTATAATACCTATAAGCTATATATAAGTAATTCGCCTTTGTTTCGAAACACACCGAACCTCAAATGCTCTGTAAAACCTTTTCGAACTTTTTCGACTTTAAACTTTGGCATACATAACCTCCAAATTTCTGGAAAACTATTTAAATTATTATACTCAATCTGGCTAACTACCTTTATTCATATGCATGTATTTCTAAATTGTTGCTTATAACTCTGTCGAGAAAGTAGGAATATTTTCGAACCGCCGAAGATTTAATACCCTTGTAGACATTACCATGTTGCAGATATATTACAATAGTGACACTCGTAAATGCTTCGTTTAATGTAATTATCTTGAAAATATGAGAACTTCTTTTGCCATATAAGAACCTACTTCTGGATCGATCGGTTTAATGGCAGCTTTGTGATATAGTGTTCCGATGTGGATGGGATATGATTTGAGAATCTAAGGAGCATAGGGAAACTAACAAAACCCGAGATTGTTGAAGATATAAAACATATGTTTTCCATACAAGAATCCAAATTTCCATCGATCGTTCCTATGTCAGCTATATGATATAGTGGTCCGATTCGGCTGGTTCCGACATAGATACTGCCTGCAACAAAAGTTTCAAGTCGATAGCTATAAAACTGAAAGACTAGTTGGTATAGAGACAGACGGAAGGAGAGATATAAAGACGGACAGTCGGACGGACGGGAGGAGAGACGGATGGACGGACATGTCTTTAGCAATTCGGCTATTGATGCTGATCTAAAAAATATATACTTCATTAGGCCATAGAAATCTCCTTGTTGCATACAAATTCCTAGCGAGACTTATATTCAATTTATTACCAGGTTCTACTATAGACATAATCATAGAGTATTCGTGTATTTTGTAAATAAAAATATATGATCCATCAACTATTGGGCTATAATGTTTTGCTTCTTTCGCTGCCTAACTCTGGCTCTCTTCAAGTCCAACTTGTTATACATTATTTGTAGATCTTTTGCGTTTTAATATACACTTAGTTAATCGGACTGTCAGCTGTCTAATTAGCGCAACGCTATCAATGGCAAAGCAGCAATAATTAGAGGCCCAGTCGACGGACTCACAGAGGCCTCAATTGCGGCCAAGTTGGGGCGAGTGGTTCGGCGGTTCGTGGCTGGGGCCTCATAATCGCTGGGCAAAAATCTCATTAACGCCGTTCTCCAAAGCAAGGCTCGACTGGGCCAATTAATAAAGAAGCGTGAAATTGAATTTTTTACTCTCATGCGCAAATTTCACACCCCAGAAATGTTGCCCCAGAGCCGCAGAGGCTGTGGCAGCTGATCTACGGAGTGCCAAAAACAAAAACAAAAAACACAAGTGAAGAAAGAAAGATTGTGAGATATATGTGCGGGTAAGAGGGGACTGCATACGAGGGGGGCAACTGCGAAAAGACACACTCCAAAGGGGCCTGCAAAATGCAGGTGTGGTTGGGCTCGACTGGGGTACGGCTATTAAAACTCAATCTGAAATTCAAATCGTAATATAATGTGGCCGCCGTCCTCAAACGTGGCAGAACAAAGCCAAACGACAAAGCGAAATAAGCCTTGAAAGTGCCCAAAAAAAAGGAAAGAAAAAAAACAAAAAAAATTAAAAAAGAATAAAGTAAAATTCAAGCAGAAAACCAAAAACTATTCACACACACAGCCGAGAGAAGAACGGAGCAGAGCTGAGAATCAAAGGCCAAGACGAAGCCCATGAAATTCTTAGGCGCATTTTGGTCAAAACGAATGACCAAACCCGAATACCCCGCCCCGCTGCCCTGCTGCCCCGCCTGCCCCGTTGCACAGTCGCGTCTGGGGCTATCTTTGCGTTTGATCTGCAACGAGACGAGTCGCCCGTCGACGTTTTGTGCCCCGCAAGGAATTCTTTCAATTCATTTCGTTTCTCTTAGCCTTCTC